CGAATGCAAAGAATAAATCATCTACAATCACATAATAATTGGCCAAATAATTATGGAAACATTCAAATCATATAAATCAAACATTTGTCCAATCGAAACTAATGTTGAATTTATGAAATAACGGAAATTTAAATCATCAAAAGGTTCATCAAATTCCTAATGAACAAAAACCCTAGCCTATAATCATCATTGCAAAATCAAGAAATTGAAAAACGAAATTAAAAGATAATAAGAATACACCCGTATGGAATTTTTTCAATCCGTGTGTAAAATCTTCAATCCGTTTCGAGCCCGTGTGAAATTGAATCCAAAATCAAGTTTCTTGCCTCCAATTTTGGTCTCTCTCTTCTCCTTGGTCGTTCTTCTCCTTCATATGATGAATTTTGGTATTTATATCGCGTCCAAATTAAGTAGGAAAGGAGTTTCAACCAAAACGAAAAACTGCGCCCGAGACCCAAAAATTATTCTATGCCTTCTATGCGGTCGCATTGTTCAAATTGTTTGGGCTCATTGAGTCCCTGGAGCCTTCTATGCGACCGCATAGAAGGTTACACTATGCGGTCGCATAGAAGTAACCATCTATGTGGTTTGTTCAATTTGGTCCCTGAACTTCTTTGTTGCTTCTCTTGACTTCTTTCTTCGATTTCTTCATTTTTTCAATAAATTTTATTTTCCAATTGATGATTGATACCATCAATTCTCATGCCCCTCATTCGGCATATCTTTTGAGTATTTACGCTTTAGTCCTCGAACTTTCAATTGTCTTCATTTCAGTCCCTCTTTAATATTTTCTTCTTCCATTTGTTTTGCTTTGTCATTGAGCTCACACTTGGCATGTCTTCCCTCTCGTTTTGCATTTAGCTCAACTTTTCAATATTTGCACATTTGGTCCTCGAACTATCAAATTGTTGCGTTTTGGTCCTTTTTCGGCTCTTTTCTCCTGAATTTCACAATTTTCATTGAATTACCTACAATGCATAAATTTAACTGGATTAAGTCACAATTCAACCATTTTATCCATGTTTAAGTCATGTTTATGATCTAAATAAGTGTGTAAAAACACACTTATCAACTTCTCTTGTTTTTTAATCCATTATTGTTTTTGCAGTGTGAACTGTGAACTTCATTCGAGTTTTGATGAATATAAGGAAATACTTTCTTGTGCTAATGTCAACTAGGGACCTTAAAACCTTAAAAAAACAATGTAACGTGAATTCTCATCCATAGTTATCCAAGTTTTGAATCACCTCGTCCAAATGGTTAAGTCATGAGAAAGGGACACGATTCTTTATTTGAATTTACTCTTCAATGAGTCCACATTTACAATTCATTGAATTTAACAAAACATGTGTACAATTTTCAGAAATAGACAAAGGCGAGACTTGAACTTACGACATATGTATGTTTGCCACGTTGAATCACTTTATTTAAAAGTTTATGCAGTTAGATAGATGACTTATTTATTTAAATTTATTGTTTATCAAAGAGACTCATAGTCTTGGTTTTTCAATTTCTTTTATCATGATCGTCATCGAGCATTCCCCACAGTTCTTTTTGCATTGTTGATAGGCGTATAAGCCGATGATGGTTATGCAAAGAAGTTTCTTGGTAAGAAATATGGAGCACTTTCTACTGCTGAATTAAAGGGAAACAAACAGTTAGAAGAGGATCTAATGGAAAGTAATGTCCGTATGACTGTTAGGATTCAAATAGTTTGTGGAAAATTTAGCATTCGTTCTGTGAGGAGTGCTTTTGAGGAGTCAGTTGGTAGCTGGTTAAAGAGGTTTAAGACGAAGGACAAAGAGTTGCTCCAAAGGAAACAAGCTTTACTCAATTATGTCACTGCCTATTGAATTTTTATGTTTTAAAATACTTCTTGGAAAGTAGCTGTTCCTGGGGCCCATTGGTATGACTTTTAAGACCTAAAAACTACTTTTGTACTCGTTTGGTTAATTTTATAAATGTATTTCTTTTAGTTTCGAAGAACTTTTAGAGAAAACTGATCCAATGTGATTTATTCTAAAAGCTCTCTCAGAAGAGAAAGTTCTTTAAAAATTTAGTTTTTAATCACTAATTTAGATTCGAAACTCTTTCTAGAAGTAGTAGATGCAAAAGAAGAAGTGCTATCAAACAATGCCTAGTATTCGAGAAGTGCTGTTATTGAACACTTCCCTCTATCGTGCCTACTCTCTCTATATACTATGTTGTGATTCTATGTTGACACAGGTTTTTGGCCTGTTGATAATTTTTAATATTCACGGTTGGAGTGCTCATTTCATTTGTTTATATGCCTAATATGGTCTTACACGTACAGGTTCACTTCTCAGTTCAAAGACGAGTATAAAATACCTCAGAGGTCTATAATCGATCTGTCAAGAGAACAAGGTTATGTTCTTTGCACTATAAGTAAAATAATGAGTGCCATTTCTTTTACAAATGCATCATTTTGTTCTTGATATAATCACTTCCTTTTTCTTATTTAATATTGTCCAATACTCTCTAATAATTTTGTCCTTATATTTTTTTTCATCATATCAACTGTATACATCGAGGTTTCATCTGCATTATGTAGTTGATGGAGTAGAGGTTGACAGTATAGAGAGCAAACTCTTGTGTTGATCAATCTTAGATCTATACATTGGCAATGAACCATTTGATCGAAAAGCAAAAGAAGACGTTGAGCTCACCTTGGGTTCTTTCGTTGGAAAGTAGCAATGCAAAACCTTGTCGTTTGGAACAAGGTACACACTAGTCGAGAATGCTATATCTAATCATCCTCGAAAGTTATAAGGATTGATAGTTACTTAATGCAAATGTAACTTTCTTGTGCATGTATTATATATAAAGTATGTGAATTGAACGTGTCTTGTACAAGATAAATATCCCCTTGTTAAGTGAATAATTTACCAATTCTGTATGGATATTTTTCCTCTGAATTACCTCATCTAAAAGGTTAAGATTTTCCATTCATAATTTTCAGTAACAGTTATGGCACGATTGGTATGCTATGCTAAACAAAATTTGGATGAGATTAAAGAAGAAAAAATTTAAAACTATCTCGTATTGCATATCAAATATATCCTGGAGAACAAATTGGGGTGGAGCTCCATGCTATATGATAAATCAACCTGACCATGTTATTAATTCAATAACGTAGTGACGAAAACTAACATTGGAAGAGACATCAACAAATTTACATATTAAAGCAAAATTTGACATTTAAAATAAATAGAAGGTTAACAAGATGGTATAATAAAACAACAGATTATAGATGAAGAAACTAAGAAAGAACAAATTTCTATGATTGAACATCAAAAATCAGTCTAATATGTATTCGTCATCATTATCAGATTGACAAAAATAAAGATTTGTGGGTGTCAACTTATAATTAAATTTCAAAATAGCAATGCCAACCTTCATCCCTTCTGAGTAGTTGTTTCTTTTGATATGAACTTCGCTCCCAAGGAATGTTCTATGCGGTTTTAATACCGTAATAAAATTATCAGTACTTGAGCTCTGACGGTTGGGATACGTGCTTAAAATTGGCAGCACATTCCTTCCACAAACTGGGAAGGACTTCTGGCTTGGCCTATTTGGAGAAGGCTCCATGTTTTTCAAAACGGGAGAATTAGATGGCGACCCAACTACTAAGGATGCTGCTGGATTGTTTGCAGCAGTCAGTTGTCCTTGAAATGATGAATCTGAGAATAAACCACTCCTAAAAGATATCTGTGTCTGGCCTTGAGAATTTCTTGGTTGTCGCTGAGGAATGTTTGCAAGGCTTGAAGTAGCAGACACAGATGAAATTCCTGGAACTGTTATTCTAGCAATGTTCTGCCATTGACTAGATACAGATGAATTATTCTGATACACAGAAATTTGTGAATAAACACAATTGTTATTTGGGACACTGCTAGTAACAATAGAACCAGGGAAACATGTTGGTTCCTTAATTTGAGCTGTACCACTCAGCTGCATTTGCTGCTTATGAAGATGAGCTAGCTACTGTTGCTGTCGAGAATTCAGTGTGTTGATAGAAACCAAAGATGTGATTGCAGCTGATGAACGAAAAGGTTGATTTCCAACAACAGGATTTCCAAAAGGATTTCCAACAACAGGTATAGGGAAAAAATTGACTGTTTGAGTTGAACCATCAAAAACAGAAATTCCCGCAAGAGATTGAACACCACTTGTTTGGAGCTTCCACAAGCTAACACTCTGTCCATCTTCAGTATTATTTGAACTAGGTATAGTTTTTCATTCAGGTATCAACGAATTCTTATGTTGTTGCACCATTTTAGCAACAGATGCCATCTGATACCCATACTGAGCCTTATCATGAAACATTTGAAAGATTGCAAAATTTTGTGCCATGGACGATAAGTTAATTTTCGGAGTCGTAGAAGCATCAGAACCAAGGACAAAGAAAATGCCTGATGGATGGTGTCAACTTTACCATTAGACCCCTGTTTTTGTGGATCACCAGGTTTATTGCCTATTGCACCACCACTCAATTTCACGAGAGGAATCAAGGCAAAATTCGTTGATGGAATTGGAATTAAAAAGTTCGGGCCACTATTTGTATTTAGAGATTGAGATACTAAGTTATTGGCGACTGCTGCATTACTTTTCCTACTGATATCTGTGTCAAACTTGCCAGATGAATGGGATGGCAGGTGTTGCTGCTTCTCTAAATGCACTGTTGGCATAAGAAAATTATTGATGTTGATTTTAATACCAGTTTGTTGGTCACCATGTTGCGACTTGTGGGATGAGGCATCACTGGATGTGCTAGTATCTTGTGGAGCTGATTGGACTAGAACATGAGAATGGGACAACAGTGGCTGACTTTGAGGAAAAATGAACGGTGGCAAATAATAATAACCATTGAGAAAAGGCACAATTGGGACCTGTGTTCCTGTAGGAGGAGGAATTTCAATGTTGTTGGAATTGAATAGGGGAGCTTCATTGGAAGGGAATTTTGAATAATTAAAGCTCACTAAAAGGAGTCCCGCAGCTAAATTAGTAGACAAAGATGTGTTGCCGATGATAGAATCAGATTGAAAAGTTCCGGATTGATTATTGGTGACTGCTTGACGATGATCAAGTGGAAAGATAAAAGCAGGGCCATGCTACAAGACAATGAGAATATTACAATAAATCTTCTAAATTTTCGTCATTGTAATCCAGCAACTCAAAATAAGATTTATCAACTAATAAAAATTATGGACAGTGCAACTTACCAGCAGGGACTTGCGGTGGATCTTGTTGAAGGACATGCTTTCTGCTTTTCGATTTATCCAAACTTGCAACAGCTTCCAAGCTTTTATCTTTTCCGTTGTCTCCTTTAATTGTAGAATTCTGACCTCCTGGAAAATAGTCTGCTCGTAACAGGTTTCCAAGTATCAACTTCTCTGTTTGTTGCATAGAATTAAGATTTAATGTCTTCGCTCCACATAAAGTAGGAGCAGCTGCACCAGACCACAGAGCCTTCTCGGTAAGTTGCTGATGATAACGAATGTTCAGTGCAATATACTGATGTGTTGTGCATATCTTTGACCGAGGCTGTGAGAGATCAAAAGGAGGTAGCTGCACATTCCCACGTTCAGTACAAATTAAGGCAAATTAATTAAAGAATTCAAAAAAATAAAAATAAAATGGGATAAAGAGGAAGCAAAAAAAAATCATGTCAGAACAAGTAAAAAAATCACCAAAGGAAAGAAGAAAAGACACTTGAAATGCGGTTGAAGATCTTGTACTTCCATTTATGGTATTGACTGTCTACAGAGAAGGCACAAGTCTGAATATAACTTGTTGAACAATGGGCCATGCCAACTGGAAAAATGATAGAGGACGTAGTAGGTAGAGAATTCACACCCCGAATGAGGAAGAACACCAAGCCAGCTACTCGTAGCAATTGGGAAAGGTAATAAGGAAGATTGTACTACGAAAAGGACAACCCAATTACATTAGAAATTTAATTCTGGAGGACTTTACATCGAATTTTCTGATCGTTCCCACCCTGCTGTTGTGATTTACTAGGGCCAATGCTACTTGAAATTTCAGGATAAGGCTTCTCTGTATCAAGGTTTGGCAATTTTTGCTTAACACCAATTATTCCGATTTTTTCCTCTTCGGGTTGCATTATAACTGCTAATGGATCATCCAATTCATGAGTCTCACTCTTCTGAATCATAGAACAAGAGGAAAATATTCAGTAAAATTATAAAAATAAAATAATATTCTAGAAAGAGGCAGGAGAGATGACACACCTTTTGAACATTCTGGGTCGTACATTTAGGATCGAACACCATACAAACCAAACCATCTCTTTCAGTGGATGAAGGCAAGGGCGGAGGAGCCTATTAAAATGTAACCATCTTCAAAATTCGCAGTAAAGAAATCAAAACCAAAAAATCGCCAGAAAAAAGATAATCAATATTTTAACGCATCTCACCATCAAATCAATCGCAAACTTGGTCTCCCAAATAGTCTCAACCTCCATTGCCGTACTCTTCCTGTTCACTCTGAGCAGAGAAGCAGTAGGTATATCGTAAATATGGAAAAGTAGAGCGATAAGAAGGAAAGGAGCAAAAAGAAACAAAAGTGATGCTCACGTTTTTGTCCCTTTCGAATCCAAGGGTTCATCAACATTGCCTTTGGCACATGGCGATGATTCACTTTCTTTTCAAGCCAACTTTTCCTCTTTATTTGCTACGCTACAACAAATGGATTTTTGGGCTGCTGTGTTACTTGGGAATTTATCTTTCTTCGGCTTCAATGGGTCAACCACGATCGTTTTAGTATCTACTTCCATTAATTGATCATTTTGAGTGTGAAAAGTATCGTCCCCAGCTTTTTTCAAATTCAAGCCCGTATTTCACCAAATTTCAACTAATTATATTATGGAAAAGTTGTAGAGGAAAACGATTTGACAAACTTCTTAATTAATAAAATAAAATAAAAAATCATAAACTCATAAGGGAAGATGACACAAATCAAGGAATTCAAAAATCATAAAATCAGCAACTCTATCTATGCAATTAGTTTGGCCAGAATCACTCCATCTATGCATCAGTTTGGCCCAGAATCATGAGATTTATTCTTTGCAATGAAAGTAAATTTAGTGATTTGTAATTGCTGTACATTTCCTTAGGTAGAATTAAATGTCTATATAAATTAACCAACATGATCAATGAAAAGTGTGTGTTCAAAATTCTCATTGAAAGTGCCTTGTGTCTTATTCTCCTACATGGTATCAGAGCTTCAAATCTCTAACGAGAAACTTGATCCCAAATCAGCCATGTCTTTCTCAAGCAACCTAAACCCACATCTGTCCTCCTCTACAGACACACCCCTTGTTGTTTTCAACATTACTGCCCAAATCAATGAGAAGCTTACACCCTCTACATTTCCATAGTGGCGTGCTCAATTTGAAGCCCTTTTAATCGAGTATGACCTGATGGATTATGTGAATGGAGGTTCTGTATGTCCATCCTCTGATGGCACCCCATCATCCATCTAAAAAAAAAAAATCGTTGGGTTAGACAAGACAAACTAATCCTAAGTGCTATCTTAGCATCAACATCCACAACAATTACTCCGCTCATTTCCTTTGCCAAGACTTCACAGGAGGCTTGGAAAAAATTATCGACTTTGTATGCTAGTAAATCACCTACAAGGGCTATGCAACTCAAGGAAGAACTCACCTTGATCCAGCGTGGGAATCGATCGATTCCAGACTACTTACATGCTGTAAAAGCTCTCGCCGACGAAATCGCACTCATCGATCATCCGATTTCCGACGATGAATCACCCTTTACGTTCTCAACGGATTGGGACTTGATTTTCGTGAAATAGCTGCTCCCATTCGGGCTATGGAAAAATCCCTGGCTTTTGAGGAACTTCATGATCTACTAGTGGGGTATGAAAGCTATTTGAGAAGAATGGAAGCTACAACTCGACAAATTGTAGCTGCTGCAAACTTTACTAGTTAAAGAAATGGAAGCTTTGGAGGACAACAGTCAAAGAGCTTCAACAAATCAAATGGGCAATCAAAGCAGCAATCCTCTTATCGCCCATTCAACGGTAGAGATCAACGCTGACCAAATCAAAACTCGGGAACATTCAACACAACCCAACGACGCTTCCAGCCAAAGTGCCAGCTCTGTGATCAGTTGGGCCATACTGCCAAAGCCTGTCCATAGTTACAGCAAAATGAAGTGACGGTAAATTGTGCTACTTCATCAAATACAAATGAAAATAAATGGCTCATTGATTTGGCAGCCTCTCACTATATCACGGGTGATCTCACAAATTTATCCATTCATTCTGAATATGATGGAACTGATGAAGTTGTCCTTAGAAATGGTACAGGTTTGACTATCTCACATGTTGGTTCTCTAACCTTACACTCACCAAAAAAAATCTTTATCTTGAGTGACACCCTTTGCGTCCCAAATATTCGCAAGAATTTAATTTCTGTTCATTACTTTACAAAACATAATAACGTCTTTGTTGAATTTCACCCATTTCATTTTCTTGTGAAGGAACGGAACACGAGGGCGATATTACTAAGAGGTGCATGTGAGAATGGTGTCTATGTGTTTCCTAAATCACCGGTGACTTCAACTCAACAAATGGTGGCCAATGTGCATGAACGAACTTCTCTTGATGGATGACATAAACATCTTGGACACCCATCCATTAAAGTTGTTCAAAATCTTGTTAATCAATTCTCTCTTCCGCTTACCACAAAAAAAAATATCATCTTCATGTACTTCTTGTTTTATGAATAAAGCACGTCAACAACCATTTCGTTCAACGAGTTTTCAAAGTCATGCTCCTCTTGATATTATTTACACCGATGTCTGGGGACCCACACACCATATTGGTCTTAATGGATCTTGTTATTATCTTATTCTTGTCGACCATTATACGAAATACATATAGCTTTATCCAATGGTTGCAAAATTAAGCATGTCTACTATATTTCCGCAATTCAAAAATATTGTTGAAAAACGCTTCAACTCTAAGATAAAGAGTTTGTATTCAGGTAATGGTGGTGAATTCATAGGTTTAAAAAACTGTCTTTCTTTACATGGCATAAGTCATTACACCACTGCACCATATACACCCCAACAAATTGGTGTTTCTGAACGACGTCATCGTCACCTTGTGGAAACAGGACTCACTCTTCTTCATGATGCTTTCCTACCACTTGATTATTGGCCACATGCATTCCAAACAGCCGTATATCTCATAAATCTTCAACCCACTCCACTTCTTCAAAATAAGTCACCATTTGAGGCTCTTTTTGGACAAAAACTAAATTACCTCAAACTTAAGAAATTTGGGTATCTTTGTTATCCTCTCACAAAGCCATATAATACTCACAAACTACAGCCCAAATCTGTACCTTGCATTTTTTTAGGATACTCACAAACTCAAAATGCCTATAAATGCATGGACCCATCCACTAAAAGGCTATACATCTCACGGTATGTCCTATTTGATGAGGAGAAAATCTCAATTATAGCAAGAGGCCCAAATCCAGTCGAAAACCCATTTAAACATCTTTCTTCCTTCGGTGTTCCTTTTTCGCAGATTTCCACCTCGCGACATGATAAGTGTGTTTTTACACACTTATTTGGTTCATAAACATGACTTAAACATGGATAAAATGGTTGAATTGTGACTTAATCCAGTTAAATTCATGCATTGTAAGTAATTCAATGGAAATTGTGGAATTCAGGAGAAAAGAGCCGAAGAAGGACCAAAACGCAACAATTTGATAGTTCGAGGACCAAAGGTGCAAATATTGAAAAGTTGAGCTAAATGAAAAACGAGAGTGAAAACATGCCAAGTATGAGCTCAATGACAAAGCAAAACAAATGGAAGAAGAAAATATTGAAGAGGGACTGAAATGAAGACAATTGAAAGTTGGAGGACTAAAGCGTAAATACTAAAAAGATGTGCCGAATGAGGGGCATTAGAATTGATGGTATCAATCATCAATTGAAAGATAAAATTTGTTAAAAAGATGAAGAAATCGAAGAAAGAAGTCAAGAGAAGCAACAAAGAAGTTCAGGGACCAAATTGAACAAACCACATAGATGGTTACTTCTATGCGACCGCATAGTGTAACCTTCTATGCGGTCGCATAGAAGGTTTCAGGGATTCAATGAGCCCAAATAATTTGAACTATGCGATCGCATAGATTCCTTCTATGCGGTCGCATAGTTCGTTTTTGAAACCTCGGGCGCAGTTTTTCGTTTTGGTTGAAACTCCTTTCCTACTTAATTTGGACGCGATATAAATACCCAAATTCATCATATGAAGTGGAGGAACGACCAAGGAGAAGGAAGAGACCAAAATTGGAGGCAAGAAACTTGATTTTGGATTCAATTTCACACGGGCTCGAGACGGGATTGAAGATTATACACACGGATTGAAGAAGTTCCATACGGGTGTATTCTTATTATCTTTTAATTTCGTTTTTCAATTTCTTGATTTTGCAATGATGATTATAGGCTAGGGTTTTTGTTCATTAGGAATTTGATGAACCTTTTGATGATTTAAATTTCCGTTATTTCATAAATTCAACATTA